TGCCGCATGTTCCACTGCGGTCAATAAAACTCGTGTCGTTTTGTTTTCGTTTTATAAAGTGTATAAAACTTTTAATATCGTTAATGTAAAATGAAGAAATAGTATAAATGTTGATTGTCTTGTTGGTTTGGTGAGGTATTATTCGATGTTTCTGCGTTTTAACTTTTTTTTGGGATAAGCCGGTAAACGAGCTTACGAATCACCTGATAGTAAGAAACCAGCGTCACCCATGGACACCTGAAAAACCAGAGACCTTATACTGCGCTCCCAGCCTTTTGGGAATTGGGAAATAGAGGATTGTGGGGGATTCAGGGATCGGGGAGACTGGTAAGGGAGCGTAATTGGGCCTCCGGTAATCTCATGTTATTTCACGTTTGTTTTCTGTGAGATCGTGGTATCGCTCCGGTAGAGACGGCCCATTCATGCCGAAGAATGGCTCCCCCACTACGTCTGTATCACTGTTATCATAAGCAAGAGTCCGTGGCAGTTGAAAGTCCAATTCTGGATTGTAGGCTTCCTCTACATAAGAAGGTTTTCCATAATGTCAATGCTAGGCATCTGCCTAAACCATCTGGGTTTTGGGGATTACGATACCAAATCCATCTGTCAAGAAAGGTTTAAAAAGTTTAGATCTGAGAGTACTGTCAGGTCTTATGACATAGCAGTAAGTGATAGTGTGCAGTCAGCCAGTGTAATAAGTATTTTTTATGGCATAAGCCGGTAAACAAGCGGAAGGACCACCTGATGGTAAGCAATCGGCGTCGCCCATGGACACCTGGAACACCAGAGGCGTTAAGAGTGCGTTACCGGCCTTTTAGGTTTAGGAGTTTGAGGATCGTTGGGGATTTAGGAATTGGGGAGATTGGGGAAGGGGAGGGTAATAGGGCCTCCGATAACCTCACTCACACGACGAAACACAACGCTAGCGTTGTTTCACGTCAGTTTTCTGTGAAAACGTAATATTACTCCGGTCGAGCCGGCCGAATGGGCCGGCTCAAAATATCCTCAAGAGAACATCAACTCATCTCATAGTAAAAAAACCAAAAATAATATTTTTTGACCTACATAAGTCAAGAAAACATACTTTTAGTTGTACTTCATGGTTGAAGGCTTACGTAAGCCTTCAAATTAAGAACACCATCGTGCATCGTCCCAAAACAAGGTTTTTAATATTCAACGAACGACAACAAAAACAAAAAGTCCTCAAGTTTCATGATTGCATGGTCACCCTAGTAACCGAGTTGCCGTGATCGGAATAATTGATGAGCTATCACCAATTCGATGCCCGACGCGTGTACAGAATGTATATATTAAGTTTTGCGATCTTGTGATTCGTTTCTTAGGGACTGTAGTACAATTATTTGTATGTAAATTGTCCAATTTCTGTTTGGAAAAAGTAGGTTGGTATTTTGTTTTTTTTTTCAGAAAGAAAACAGATAGGTACTACACAAAACTACTTACAGCGTATGACTTCAACTAATATTGTAACAAGCTTGTCTTCGCCGTCAGAAAGAGACGCACTCATATTCGCATACTGTTTTGTCAGCTGTGAGTAAAACAGTTTACATAGGTTGTTCAAGAATACACATTTACATAGCTTGTTCCGCTTCTCATGCATGAAAGTGAGGGTTTGGAACCTGCCAACGGCATGTAACTTTTTCCGACTCATATGTACTTTCTAATTTGCAAACACCACTGACCGACGGTGAAGGAAAACAATCTACCTCTAATTATAAGTTTGAAATTGCCAACCCGCATTGAGAAAACGTGGTCTGGTGATTAATGTTCATACCTTCTCCGTGCGAGAAGAAGCCTGTGGTCAGCAGTGGCTACTTATAGGATATTGATGTGTGTGCTTATTCAAAATTACCCTTCAATTAAAAAATTCCCATTTGCTCGAATAACAGCATAGCCCTGGATTTCCAAGCAAAACGAAAGCTTGACACAAACCAGAGTAAAAATCAGCCATTTTATGGGCAAAAGCGGCCATTAAAATTAAACGTACACAGATCGATTTTATAGACGGCGGATGGCGTTAAAATCTATTTTTAGTGCATTTGATGTTTTTAGTTTAATGGGGATGGCAATGGGAGCAGATAAGGCGAAATATATTTACGATCTGCAGTTTTATGGCACTTTTATCGAGAAGGTGCGGTTGAGAAATCTTTTAAGGTGCATTAAATGGTAGTATTTATGTAACACATAACAAACATAACATAACATCACGCCCTTTATCCTCAAAGGGGTAGGCAGAGGTGCACATTATACCATTGTACGATGTAACACCCACTTTTCACTATTTATGTTATGAGTCCCATGTAATAGGGGTGAGCCTATTGCCATATACCGGGCACAGTTCCAGACTCCGTGCTACTACTGACAATTTTTTTAAAAACCCAGTAATACTTTGCCCGACCCGGGAATCGAACCCGAGACCCCCTTGCTCGGCAGTCGCAATTGCGACCACTTGGCCAATGAGGCAGTAGTATTTATGTACATTTTTGCATAAATCGAAAGGCCTTTGACTGTTTACGCAACCACACGTCATACGGACGGTTTTATGAATCATCATCATTAACGGCTATGAATGGTCACTGTTGACCAAAGGCCTCTTCTCACACGGAGAAGGATTGAGCATTAATCATCACGCTTGCTCAATGCGGGTTGGCGATTTCAAACTTACAATTGAATTTATAATTCCATGGTTCGGTTCACGATGTTTTCCTTCACCGTTTGTCAGCGGTCTCTAGATAATCTTAGAAAGTACATATAATTCTGAAACAGTCGCATTAGTACTTACCGTTGATAGGTTTCGAACCCGCACTCTCATGCAAGAGATGTGGGCGTCTTAAACTAACGGGAAACAACTTTAATCAATGACGATTGGAAAGCATTCGTCTCACAATGGTCATACATGCGTCAATTGACGAAAGTGTGCGTATAAAATGCGGTGATGTGGTCTTACTCTTTTCAACTGCCATCTGCCAACCCGTCATCCAAGTTAGGAATTAAAACTCCTATTAGGACTGAAGATCGTAAAAATAAAGAACAGGCAAAAAAATAATGTATCAAATAATGGTCACCCTACTCGTTTTATTACAAAATATCGATACTGTGTCACATCACTACGCTTAACGAAGTCATCGTTTGCAGACGTATCGATATCGGGGATATTGACTATCGATATCGACAGAAACTATCCTTAACATCAAACAAAATTGTCAGCACAAAATGTACAGTTATCCTGTCTAACCATTTTCAACCTTAAAATTGAGTTGACAAGGTTTATATTGATACATTGTAGAGTGGCATTAAGTGCCGTAAGGGACAAAAAGGCGTGATGTTATGTTATGTTATTCTTAATTTTGTTTTTCATATTAGTAACGGTTTAGTACCCTGAAGATGGGTTCTGAGTTTGAGAACTTGATTTAGATAGGTTGAAGTCCAGACAATTTTGGGGACCACTGCTCTATACAATAAGTCTTGACAAAAGTTTAAAACTGAGAGAGCCATGCTTCGGCACGAATGGGCCGGCTCGACCGGAGCGATACCACGCACTCACAGAAAACCGACGTGGAACAACGCTTGGGTTGTGTTTCGTCGTGTGAGTGAGGTTACCGGAGGCCCAATTACCCCAATCCTATCTCCCCAATCCCTAAACACCCAACAATTTGTAACGCTACTGGTGTTTCAGGTGTCTGACCGGCGCCGATTGCTTCCCATCAGGTGATCCGACAGCTCGTTTACCGGCTTATTCCATCAAAAAAAGACCTCCATAGCTACTTATTCCACAATTTTTCCTTTTACATTGGAAAACTGGCACTAGGTACACTTCCACGAAAAACTTCATTACGGCTTCCATCCACTGGCGATATGTTTACTCGATAGCTTACAAACTTCAATATCGAGAGGTTCCACTGAAAAACATTTCATGCAAACTTCCCGAATGTTGGTTTTGCGAACGAATCTTCTATTAGTTGGTAGTTTATTGATTTCTTCTGTGGTCATGTGGCTGTCAGTGCCACTGTCGAACAAGGGTTCTCCAGTTCGGTTATTGTCTCTGACACAGAACATATAAAGAAGGTTATATGTAAAGAAAGAACATACATATATATTTAAATATGTTTTAGTACCTATCTATATTTATAAAGTCTATTTATGTTATTTGTTTCTTATAATTACACATGCCTTTTTTTCGCTGATTTCCTATTTAACCCTAAGGTTGACTGGGAGAGAATGTCATATGGCATTAATGTCCGCCTTATGTACCATCACTTGTTTCTGTGTACATTAAAGTTTAAATCCTTACTTCCTAACTTATATTATAAATCGGAAAGTGAGTTTGTTTGTTTGTTTGTTCCACTTTAACGCCGTAACTACTAAACCGATTGCTTTGAAATTTTGCAGACGTAAAGTTAGAAGACCGGATTAAATAATATGGTACTTTTTGTCCCTGAAAAATTTGATATTCCCGAGGGAAAACAAAAATATTGGTATAGATGGCGCTGTGTGTATTGGTATATGTCACATTGGCTTTTTATCCTTTTGTGACGCGAGCGAAGCCGCGGGCAAAAGCTAGTAAATTAATAAATATAAAAAAGGTTTATATTATGTTCTGTGGTCTCTGAATCTTGCCAGATACATGGTAATAGAAACAACTCAATTTTGCTCAGGCGTATTCCTTAACATTTTTAGCGACCATGTAATTTTTTCTCTTACTGACTGCCTCATTGACCGAGTGGTCGTAAGTGCGACTGCAAGGGGAAGGGGTCTCGGGTTCGATTCCCGGGTCGGGCAAAATATTATACTGGGTTTTTAAAAATCTCAGTAGTAGCACGGAGTCTGGAATTGTGCCCGGTATATGGCAATAGGCTAACCCCCTACTACATGGGACTCATAACATAAATAGTGATAAGTGGGTGTTACATTGTACAGTGGCATTAAGTGCCGTAATGTGTGTTATGTTATTTATATTAAACTTGTATGTCTGTTTGTTTCAGCTGCACTCCGAGTACCGCAGCACTTACAAATGGCACGAATACAAGGAACAGCAGCAGCAGCAGGGCGTGGTGAAGCAGCCAGCACCCACGCCCCCCTCCGCACTGCCCATACAAAGGGGTAAGTCTTCACCATAATTAATTAAATATACCACGGCCTCACAGAAAACCGACGTGAAGCAACGCTTGCGTTGCCTCAACGAAACACATTTCGTTGAGGTTACTGGAGGCTCAATCACCCTCCTCTTCCCCAATCTCCCCAGAATCCCTGAATCCCCAACGATCCTCAAACTCCTAATCCCTAAAAGACCGGTAACGCACCTGTAATGCCTCTGGTGTTCCAGGTGTCCATGGGCGACGCCGATTGCTTACCATCAGGTGATCCGTCTGCTCGTTTACCGGCTTATGCCATAAAACAAATATGTTTTTATAATAACTATCGTGAGACATACCAAACTAACTAAAAATCGCGGGTTACTCACAAGAATACACCGAGAAAAGCTCTACTAGTTTCGAACCACAGAGGGGTTCTTCCTCATGAGTAGCAGTAGCAGTAGGCTGCGCGACATCGCCGCGACCGCGCGCGCTGCTAATGAGGAAGAACCCCTCTGTGGTTCGAAACTAGTAGAGTAACCCGTAATTTTTATTTAAAAAAAATATATTTAAAACTGGTTGAAACCGAATCTGTTTCTGCGTTTTATAAAATAAAAGTAGCCTATGTTACTCCATTGTACATCACCAATGAAATCAGTCCAGTTATTTCAGAGATTAGTCGGTACAAACAGATAGATAGACAGACAAAAAGCGTTATTTTAGTATATGTATCGTATTTATATTCAGATAAGTACATGTAGTAAAAAGCGGTTATTTCGATATGAAAAGGAAAACTTCAATTTTATTTATCTATATATGTACCCCGGGCAAGGGGTCTCGGGTTCGATTCTCGGATAGGGCAAAGTATTACTGGGTTTTTAAACAATCTCAGTAGTAGCACAGAGCCTGGAAATATGCCCGGTATATGGCAATAGATTCACCCCCTATTACGACTCATAACATAAATAGTTTTCGTCCCTTTGGGGATAAAAGGCGTGATGTTTTGTTATGTTATGTTATGTTATGATGAGGCCAAACTCGATATCTTTACCAGCAATTCAAGGCTCCATTAGACCTTCCAATTTCGTTATCAAACCAGATCGATCGTTATTTAAAGTCAAGAGAAAACATTTCCCTAGCTCTCACTTTCACCACTTTGTATCATCTACAAAATATATGTCTACTCAGGGTTTTATAAAATAACTTGACCTAAAACTAGACAAGTTTTAGTAACCCTATACTAGAATAGGAACTTCTTGACCTCTTTCGGGGTCAATCTAAATCCGGTCCCGATCCCAACGGGGTCCTTTTCTATTGACCTCTTTTTTCTAGGACACACTGGGGTGTGGGTGTGTGTGAGGATATGTGACAGATATAAATTACATATTAAAGCGTGTGATTAATACAAGACAGTGATAAATGAAACTTCAACTTATTCATGTTCAATTTCATAAAAAAAGTCGTGTTGGCCCGGAGGTTTAAGACGCCCACTTCTCATGCATGAGGGTGCGGGTTCAAAACCTTCCAACGGCAAGAACCACCTACCAACGTGACTTTTTCCGAGTTATATGTACTTTCTAAGATTATTCAGACACCACTGACAAACGGTGAAGGAAAACATCGTGAGGAAACCTGGGCTTATAATCCCTACTAATCCTTACTAATATTATAAATCTGAAAGTGAGTTTGTTTGTTTGTTCCACCTTCACGCCGTAACTACTCAACCGATTGCTTTGAATTTTTGCAGACGTAAGGTTAGAAGTCCGGATTAAATAATAGGGTACTTTTTAACCCGGAAAAAATTGATATTCCCGAGGAAAAACAAAAGTATTGATATAGATGGCGCTGTGAGGTGGTGCCTAAATGATATTAAAAAGTACATATAACTCGGAAAAAGTCACATTGGTATTAGCCTTATGCATGAGAGTCTTAAACCTCCGGGCTACCACGACATTGTTATGTAGGTATTTCTGTAATAACATGAATCAGTGGCATTGTTATAACAAATCTACATTTTAAAAACTTTTAAATAAATAGTATTACTACAATAAGTAATTAACTGCAAAAAAAAATACTTTTTTTGTATTAACACTATATATTATATATTACAAAAAGGTATACCTACATAGAAAAGCCTTTTAAAACCTTTGACCTAAAAATGGCTGTGCACCTATCTTACGTAGATAATAACATTATTCTATACCTAATAAATAAAATAAAATAAAAATAAAATAAAATAAATTTATTTCAGACATATTGGGTCCATACATTTACGATTAGATTATTATTATTCAATATATATATTCTTAATTAATTTAATTTATTACATTATAACACCGCATTATCAATCATTCAAATTAGTATATTGTCAATTTAATTAATGTCAATTTAGGTAAAAAATATCATTACATCCAACAAATATAAAGAAGAAATGAAAAAAGGCCAAATTATTTAATTTTTTTTTTTAACAATAGAATTAACTTAAGTATTTGCCTCCGTTTGAGGCACCGGTCACGCACACTTGAGTTTGAACCCAGTGCCTCATAAGGGGGCTATCCAGTTTTTGGCTGAGCTCGCTCAAGATGGTGTTGGCGCTCCCACGCGTACGGAACATCAGCGAGGCGATGCGGCGCCGTAGCACCGCGTGAAAGCCGTCAGTGTGCGCGTGCGCAAACATCGCAGACGCACTACAGCAGCGCGGGAGCCCCACCAGCACCCTGAACGCGTTATTATATTGTACACGGAGAGCGTTGATGGCCCGCTGCGTGTAGCTGACCCACAGATTGCAGGTGTAGAGAGTTTGGCAGAATGCTTTAAACAACGTGATCTTTACCCCAAGACTACACCCCGCAAATCTGCGTGCCAACATATTACAGCGGACCGCCATCGCCCTCCTCTCCCTTTCTATGTCCCTATCGTCTTTTAAATCCTCGGTAACCACATGGCCGAGGTATTTAAATTCCTTCACTCTTTGAAGAGCGACAGTGTTAAGCAGTACAGGTGCCACATCCCCCAGTTTACGACCCCTGGCCTGAAATACCATGAGCTCACTTTTCTGCTCATTGTATAGGAGACCGTGCACTCTCGCATACTTCTCACACACACCTATCAGCTTTCTGAGCGCGGCTACTGATGGGCTGAGCAACACCATATCGTCTGCGTAGCTTATACTATTAATACAGCGACCATCAATCGAGCATCCCACTCCGATGTTGCTCAGCTCAACAATCAGCCCATTTACGTACAAGTTGAAGAGTGTAGGAGACGTCAACCCCCCCTGTCTCACTCCACACTCCAACCTGTACTCATCAGAAAGTTCATCACGCCATTTGACCTGGTTAGTCTGGTGATCATACCAATATTTAAACATATTAATTATCTCGCCTGGCACACCTGAATTCTTCAACTTATGCCAGAGTATATCATACCTAACCAGGTCAAAAGCCCTGGAGAGATCAAGAAAGGCTGCATAAACAGGCGTGCTCCTGTCTGTGTAATACCTGACAGTCTGCTTGAGAGACATAACTGCGCATTCTGTCGAAAGTCCTGGTCTAAAACCGAACTGTGCGTCGTTTAATTTTAGATGTTTCTTAAGCTGTCTCTCAAGCAAGCCATCAAGCACTTTAGCTGTGGTTGTAGCTAATGAGATGCTAATGGTTAACCCTTTTTACCAACAGGGCCCATGGAGCCAGCGATGCCTCGTCGCAAGAAGTACCCCGGAGTGGCGTACAAGACGAACGAGCTGTTCGACCCGGCGCCTGCTGACGACATCAGACCGCAGCAGACGTCGGCCTTCGATAGAGCCAGGGTAAGCTTCCATTTGAAAAATACTTGACATTTTTAGGTATAGGAGAACTGTGATTTGGCACGATTGGACATTGTCGACCGAAATGGATCGAACCAACAAAATTATGTAACTAGAGAATTGTATTATGAACCTGATTGAAAAAAAAATAACCTATGGAATTTCTTGCTCGTTCTTCTCCATAGGAATGTACACCGACCAATCGACCTCATCGTCCGCTTGATAAAATTGACGTGTAGGTAAAAGTGCTGCCTTGTAGTCTATTTGCAGAAATAAATTCACTTGTTTCACATCTTGGAATGAGCAAATAAATAGCTTTAATTTAAAATTTTTGTTGACGTTCAAAAGTGCCTTTCTGGTCTAATTGAAATAAATGATTGTCTTTGTCTTTGACTTTGATACCACGGCCTCACAAGAAACGAGCGTAAATTTATTATACAGTCGAAATAATTTATTTATGATCAAGGAAAGTACAACGTTTTACACAAAAAATACAAAATACAAAGCAACTACACAAAGTGTGTGATATTGTAAAAAAAACTAGTAGGTATGTGTATTCAGGAGCTACGTGCAACATAATTAATTTTGAACGAAATGTAAACACAGACTGTTTTCGAACGAAATAAAGGCCATAGTCAATATAGACTCGAAGTAAACAGAGACTACACAGCTCTAGAGTCAACAGAGACTACTAATAAAATGTTCCTGCAGTTTTATAGAACTAATGTTGTTGTTTCAGAAATGAAAATAGTTTTAGATAATGGTAATTTTAAATCTTACCTATTTAAATAAATAGAAAGAAAGAAGAAAGAAAAATCATTTATTCGACAGTAGGCACGCACACAGATAAAAAAAATACAAAATTAAAAAAGAAAAAAACAAATAAATACACTTATTTATACAGATATAGAAAAAACACGAAATAAACAACAAAACAGTGACAATAGAATACTAACACAATAATTAAAAATTAATAAAAACAAGATATAAATAAATAAATAAATAACATTTAACGGTGCCAACAGGGCCTCCATCTCAGCATTAAATAAATGGTATACCTATTTAAATGATTCGAATAATTAAAAGACCGCCTCGTTGGTCGAGTGGTCGCAAGTGCGATTGCCGGGCAAGGGGTCTCGGGTTCGATTCCCGGGTAGGGCAAAGTATTAGTACATGGGTTTTTAAATATTTCTCTGTAGTAGCACGGAGTCTGGAATTGATTTTGCCCGATATATGGCAATAGGCTCACCCCGTATTACATGGGACTCATAACATAAATAGTGAAAAGTGGGTGTTACATTGTACAGTGGCATAATATGCACCTCTGCCTACACCTTCGGGGATAAAAGGCGTGATGTTATGTTTACTATTTAAATAAATAAATAAATAAAGTCTTAAGTCTCACAGTCGACATAATATGCTGAACATAGGCCTCCCCTAACGACTTGATTTTGATAATAATGGTTAATTGATTAAGTTATTTTCTTTGTGTAGAGTGCGCAAAGGAACGATGCTGATCGCGCTGGGCGCCGCAGCAAGTCTGAAGGTCCACGCCAGCCGCGCTGGACTGACACCGTGGAACCCAAGGTAATAATTCATATTAATATACCTAACTAGCTTCTGCCTGCGACTTCGTACGCGCAATCCCGATATTTCCCGTTCCCGTTCTTGATTTTCGGTAAAAAGTAAAAAAAAAGAATTGGGTAAAAAGTATCCTATGTCCGTCTCCTGGTTCTAAGCTACCTCCCCACCAATTTTCATACAAATCGATTTAGCCATTCTTGAGTTATAAATAGTGTAACTAACACGACTTTCTTTTAAATATATAGATTGTCTAGAAAGGAACCTATGACCTTCAAAGAGACTAGTAACAGTAGATTAAATGTCCAAGAACTGCCTCGTTGACCGAGTGGTATTACAATAGGGTATATTATGACTATTTTTTATTTTAATGTCTGTCTGGTAGATTGTTTAAAAACATTAGACGCGTATTTTTTATTTTCTTACGGAAACGAATAGTTTCGAAGACATATTGAATTGAAATATCGCATGACGTCACTTTTGAGTACAATTATACTCTAAAATGACGTAGCTACCTCCCACTCCTAAAGTTTGATTCGTTTTATCTAAGTATTGTTTTCTTAGACGACAAAATAAAATAATACGTGTCTAATATTTTTTCATACCCTGTCGTCATCCCTATTATAATCACATTCTTTATCACTTTCTCTCAACAACCCATTACTTATGTTCCTTATCTAATCTCCACCTGTTATCACAATGACAACTTAATCCGAGAGTCAGTGTTATCACTGACGGTCACAGTAAGTGGTCGAGGTTATTGTAACCATCAGGTGATTGTGATGTGATTTTTAGTGTTTAGAATAAGACTGTTCTGGTTTTTCAATTCCTCAGTAGGACTGGAACACGAAGTCTGTAATTGGGTAGTTTCTAAATATATGAGTAACTAGCTTTTACCCGCAGCTTCGCTCGCATCACAAAGGGATAAAAATTGCCTATGTGACATATACCAATATACACAGCGCCATCTATACCAATAATTTCGTTTTCCCTCGAGAATATCAATTTTCCGGGATAAAAGTACCCTATTATTTAATCCAGACTTCTAACTTCACGTCTGCAAAAAATCAAAGAAATCGGTTTAGTAGTAACGGCGCGAAAGTGGAGCAAACAAACAAACAAACAAACTCCCTTTCCGGTTTACAATATTAGTAAGGATTTTACGCGAACGAAGTCGCTGGTAACAGCTGGTGATAAATAAATAACAAAGACATCTATATAGAGAAATATATTTTATTACACTATTATATGAATGACTATGTGTATTCTAATCCCAATATAAGAAAGATCAATAAGTCCCCTATTACTTATAGAAAACCAATTAATAGATAAGTAGGTTGTGCAATTAATACGGCCATTTAATGTACCCATTAATTACGAGTACTGCTAATGCTTGGCACCGTATGTGGTCATACTATATTAAGTACTTGGTACACGCCCAGCTCAGTATTTTGGCACAAAGTAACAGATATTTTGGTTTAGAGTCTGTAATGGGATACGGATTGATACCACGGCCCTGTTCGTGAGGTTATCGGGCGCCCAATTATTCCCCTCCCCTTCCCCAATCTCCCCAATTCCTGAATCCCCAACGACCCTCAAACTCCTAATTCCCCAAAAGGTCGGTAACGCACTTGTAACGCCTCTGGTGTTCCAGGTGTCCATGGGCGACGCCGATTGCTTACCATCAGGTGATCCGTCGGCTCGTTTACCGGCTTATAACATAAAAAAACTATATATCAGTTATCATCACATAGTCTTAAACGTCAAACTCTCTGAAAAATGAAGACATCAAAGTCTAATTAGTAACAATCTGTCATAGAAAACAACGACCATGAACAATACTAATTAAAAAACCATTTTACAAATCATGGGCACGCTACACATCAAACTATACAAAACCAGTTTATCATGGTCCCGCTTTCTATCATCTTTCCGCACATTCAACGATCAATTTATACTAGTTATTATGATGTGTGACGACGATTACGAACAATCAGTTTTTATTAAACGTTAATTAAAATAGCAGAGAGATGCGAGAATAATCAGTAATTGATTAATAACAAACTAGATGCTGTATCTCGGCACGCTTTGTAAACTTAGTGGCCGGAATAAGGAACTTCCGTTAAGAAACTGTAACGTTACACTTCGTTATATGTGTTATGGTTATTAAGTGTTGATTGGTGATTACAAGAATGGTGATTGATGGAGCTGATGGATTTAAAAGATTGCAGTTGAGAAAACTGTCTGTCAGTCTAGAATTATGTACGACTAGCTTCTGCCACGTTCTCGTGGGGGAGTAATTTGATGATTGACCCTCTTCAAAATAAACTTCGGAAGTTATAGGAAAACTGCCCTTTTATGTAGAGGAAGCCTTTTATCTTTTTATGATAAGTGTGGGAGAGCCATGCTTCGGCAGGAATTGGCCGGCTCGACCGGAGTGATACCACGGCCTCACAGAAAACCGACGTGAAGCAACGCTTGCGTTGTGTTTCGTCGTGTGAGTGAGGTTACCGGAGGCCCAATTACCCTCCCCTTCCCCAATCTCCCCAATTCCTGAATCCCCAACGATCCTCAAACTCTTAATCCCCAAAAGGCCGGTAACACACTTGTAATGCCTTTGGTGTTCCAGGTGTCCATGGGCGACGCCGATTGCTTACCATCAGGTGATCCGTCTGCTCGTTTATCGGCTTAGGGCATAAAAAAACTCCAACAGTGGACTACCATAGGCATCCATGATCTTTAGCAATTTTGTAATTTATCAACTTTTACGATGGTCTTTCTCCAGGCTACGACGGCGTTGGGAGAGGTGATGGCAGCCAAGGAACCGGAGATAGTTAGCACGGAGTACCGCAACCAGTTCGCGTGGCCCAAGGACACCACTGATGCTCCCAGGAAGAGCATCTCCATGGGAGCGCTGAAGAAGGCTGCCGTAGCTGAAGGTAGGTCCATTCTTTTGTTTAGACTCTATCTGTTTAAACTGTGTCGTTTTTCAAGTGTTATCATCAAGGTGGAAGATTTGGTCCGAATTTTAAGCAGAGCAAACTATTCTCATCATTTTTTTATTTTCGGAATAGAATATATCTATTCTATGGGTATCCCCAAGTGTTCGACTATACCTATATTGGGTGTACAATTAAAATACAAGTATATTTTACGGGAACAGAAAAAACGTGAATCAGCTTTTTACAAAAAAAAAGTTTAGATTAGGAAAAGAATAAAAAATGGATTTAATACTTATATTATAGTTACTTGTCCTTCCTTAAAAACTTTATTAGATTTCCAATAAAAACTTAAATAATATTAAAATTAACTAAATTACTAAATTAATAATAAAATATATACAACTTAAGATTAAAATTATATAAAAGAAAAACAAAAACAACTATTTACATAAAGCATCGAAAAATTCGTCCGCATCGACGTCAGTGGGGAAAGTACCCAGAAGGCTGGCAGCATTGCCACGTTGTATGGCAATGCTTAACCTCTGATAGAGAAAAAGACCTTCTCTTAATTGTTAGACACTTTGTCCAGATAAATAAAGAAGTCTAGTTTTGATAAAATATTTCTCAAAAATTAAAAATTCTCTAAGTATATTATTGTTTTTTGTCTTACTCACGTAATTATTTAACGAGGAACTCAACTAGTTTCAAACCATGCTAGAGGCTCATATTCATGAGCAGCATTCCGCGTCCCATAACGCGGTGATTGTCGCGCTGCTACTTTGCACACTGCTGCTAGTCGAGTTCCTCGTCAAATAATTACGTGAGTAAGCCGAAATACATAATAATTAATTTAGTATGTGTCACGAAAATTATGATATTTTCTAAGTAAACTACAGATCTCATTTAAACCAGAAATAAACATTTAAATCTTACTACGTAATTAAGTATAATAATAGTCTTCTATCATTCACTTAATCAGACGTTAAGTTATGCAACGCAGGAACTTCTAAGTTAATACGTCAAGTATATACATATGACATACGAACAAACTTGTTCATACACACCTGCGAACAGGGTTGCCTCTATTTCATTTGCTAGATATTTCGAACAAAATTAATCTCAACTTGCATCTAAATTCTACATAATAATAGTGAAGAAAACAAAAAATATATTCATAACTTAAAAAAGCTATGCAAAGACAAAATTAAGTGTTATTCATATGCAAGTAGAATCCTTCTCACACAGAGAAGATTGAGCACCACGTTTGCTCAATGCAAGTTGGCGAATAATTAGAAATTATAAGCTCAAGTTTCCTCACGATGTTTTCCTTCACCGTTTGTCAGTGGTGTCTAAATAATCTTTTAAAGCACTAACTCGGACAAAGTCGCATTTTATTAAAAAGTGTGATCGTTATCGAATGACTTCTTCCGCCTGAGTGAGGCGGGAGGGAGTGTCAGACTCTTACTGACTAATAACCACCTCATTCCTACTCTTGCACTTCGAGCCGGAGCCCCGGCAACCCGTTAAGTCCTCCGCGGCTCTGTATCGGCATCAGCCTTATTGGGCCCCAGCCGTGGTGGTCTTTTTTTTAAGGGGGGGGAAATCATCCAATGATTTCTCGCGCCTTGGGTTGGCGAGAGGAAGTGTCAGACTCTGTCTAACTAAAAACCACCCCGTTCCTAATCCTGCTATTCGAGCCGGAGCCCCGGCAACCCGTTAAGTCCTCCGCGGCTCCATATCGGCATCAGTGTTATTGGTTTTGACGTCGCATTGATACCCACTACATCTTAGAACCTTAGTACTCTAGAAAAACATATATGTACTCAAACAGAACACAGCTTCTTCAATACACCAGCCCTATAAGAACTCCTAAGTTATTCAGATTACTTCCCCGACTCAGTATAAGAGCTGAAGGAAATGCATTATTTATCAGCCAAAACTCGTTCCCATGAAATATCTGAATATTATTCAAATTGCCAGTCTGTTGGCCAGAATTGTTCTTAACATTACATAAATGGCTATTATACCTCTAAATTGTATAGCTATTTTGGGTAATATAAAACTGTCATAGAATGGCATGGTCGTGAAATATTAGTAGTTTTCTTGTTTTTTTTCTGTAATACTTGGGTCTAAGTAGTTGAATCGAAATGAAGCTAAGTAATGGATAAACTGACGGTTAGATTGCACGGCTGCCACACAACGTGTAGTGGGTTCGATTGCCATACTCTTTGTGTAATGGCGACAGCGGTTGCGACAGTCGTTGAGAGAATCCGGCAGTTGGGACTCGAGGTGGCGCTCCACAAGTCCGAGGCCATGTGTTTTCATGGCCGCGGGAATGCGCCACCTCCTGGTGGGTCTCAAATAATGGCGGGAGGGGTTACCATCGGCGTCGAGACGGCGATGAAGTACCTGGGACTCGTCCTCGACAGTCGATGGAACTTCGTGGAGCACTTCCGACGTTTGGCTCCAAAGTTGGCGAGGGTGGGGGCTGCGTTTAAGCGCATCCTCCCCAACCTCGGGGGGCCAAACGCCTCCTGCCGGAGGTTATACGCCGGGGTCGTGCGGTCCATGGCCCTCTACGGCGCCCCTGTTTGGGCGCCGAACCTGCTGCAGCGGCCCGCTCGGGCGCTGCTTATGGCACAGAGGGTCATGGCGATCCGAATGATCCGCGGATACCGCACGATCTCTGGGGAGTCGGCGAACCTCCTTGCCGGATTACCGCCGTGGGATCTGGAGGCGAAGGTGCTCGCGCGCGTGTATCGCATGCGCGCGGAGGCACGTCGCCGGGGCGAAACTCCGCTGCCGCGCCAGATAAGTGCGTGGCGGGATGAGCTCCGGCGCGATCTCATGGCGGAATGGCAGCAACGACTGTCGCAACCGAGGGCTGGGCTCGCTGCCATTGCAGCGGTAAGTCCCCTCTTTGAGGAGTGGCTTGAGAGACGCTACGGCGTCCTCACCTACCGCCTGACGCAGGTCCTCACCGGACATGGAAGTTTCGGGAGGTACCTGTGTCTGATGGGGCGGGAGGAAACGCCCGGGTGTCATCACTGCGAGGACCACCCTGAGGACACGGTGGAACACACTGTTGCGGAATGCCCTGCGTGGGCTGAGCACCGCCGTGCCCTCAGGGAAGTGATCGGCGATGGAGACCTCTCGCGTCCGGGCCTAGTTCAGGCCATGATGCGGAGCGAGGGGGACTGGGATGCCGTCTCCTCCTTTTGCGAAGCAGTCATGCTGGCTAAGGAGGAGGCGGGACGCGTGAGGCAGCGAAGCGCTGCCTCCTCGCAACCCAGCCATCGCGAAGGACACACCGGGCGTCGGGGATCGCGGGACGATCTCCGGCCACCGTAAGCGCGGGCCTGCGGACGGCGAGCATGGGTGGCTCCCCGTCCGACCAGAAACAGACCCGAGCGTACGGCGCGTCGCGTTCCGCGCGCGCCTCAAAGAGCCATCAGACCACCACAGATGGGGCCCAATAGGGCCGATGCCGATTCGGAGTCGCGGAGAACCTAACGGGTAACCGGGGCTCCGGCTCGACGTGCAGGAGAAGGAACGGGGTGGTTTTTAGTCAGTAAGAGTCTGACACTCCCTTCCGCCTCACCCGGGCGGGAGCAGTCATTCGATGATTTTCCCCCCTTAAAAAAAAAAAAAAAAAAAAAAATACTCTTTGTGTGATCCATAAATTGATGTGTGCTAGAGTAGGGCAACGTTTTTTTTAAACATTAAAATACAAATACAGATTTCATTATAAGTTGAAGATTCTTGGAACTCACGTTTAAAAATGTCACTTCATTGAAATGACAACCATGAATCTAACCTAAATTGTTAGTAAATGTACTTCATTCACAACTTTTTTCAAACGCTGACTTATCAATAGGCCTATCAATGTCTCATAGCACTAAGCTTAGCAGATACCTAAGAAAACAAATTAATCCAACCCGGAAAACAGTATCATCAAGAAACCTCGTAAACTACAAAAAAACACGACTTTAACATAAAAAGAAAACAATTTGAACACAACAAAAACTATGAAACACAAATAATACAATCAAATTGTAACACGCCGTAAAATTTGTCTGACAAAAAATGTCTTAAATTTTTTTCTTTTACGCTTTAAGTTCCCGTTGGTAATGGAGATCAGTGTCAAAGACCTCGGTTAGTGCAACACTTGCGCAGATTTTGCGAGATATTGTTTCAACGAGGTCATTTGGACAAGATTTTGCAGTTACTAACGTTTGTAGGTCAGGTTTGACAAGGTTTTATGAAAGGTGATTTGTTTTTTTTGTACTCATTGTATGTATGGAGCTTTAGACTATATTTTCATTGTGGTCGGCACACGATATCAGCAATCGGCACCGCCAATGGACACCTGGAACACAAGAGGTGTTACAAGTGCGTTACCGGCCTTTTGGGGATTATTGGGGATTCGGAGTAGGGGAGTCTGGGTCTCCGGTAACCTTACACACACGATGAAACACAACGCAAGTGTTGTTTTCGGTTTTCTGTGAGGCCGTGGTATCACTCCGGTCGAGCCGGCCCATTCGTGCCGAAGCATGGCTCTACCACATATACGTATGTTTTACATTTGAAGTGAATATTGTTATTTTGGTCTGGAATATAGTGTTATTAAACAATTTCGGTTAGACAAACTCTTGATATCGTAAAGGAAAACTTTTTATCTTCCTGTAATGTATAAAAAGGGAGGCAAATTGGAAGCAAAATTATATGTTTTTAGTCCATGTTAATGATAATAAAGAAGAAAATCTTTTCATGCCTACAGCTAAACCGATTTTGATTATTCCAGTACAAGTATTTGTGTTGCCCAAAAGGCCGGCGACGCACTTCTAACGCCTGTGTGTTTCGGGTGTCTATTAGTGACGCTGATTGCTTACCATCAGGTGATTAGTCTGCTCGTTATCTAGTTTGCCTACAAGTCCGTTTACTGGTTTAGCCCGTAAAAATATAGAAATAGACGATGATAGCATTTAGTATAATCTTATATCTTATACTATTATCTTATACGATTTGAATAAGTAATTCTTTTTATGTTGGATACTGCATTTATCGAAGATGACTATAGGCTATAAAACATCACGCTACGACCAATAGAAGCTGAGCAGAGCATGTGAAACCGCGTGAAAGTAGCTAGTATAATATAATTACCTGTTAACGATACAAACAAAATCAATACGAAACGAGGAAAACCACAAATAAAAATAAGTAGAAAATAAACGAACATTTCTACCACAATGGCCTCTAAGAATGGACGAGAATAAAAGAACGAACAACAGATAAAATTAACAGCTGACTGCTCAATGAAACGCCGTCATTATAAGTTTAATTGCAAATGTTTTGCTTTGAAAATGTATTCAAGTGAAATGAAATGAATATTGAAAGAAAAGTAAGAAAGATAACTTTTTTCACACGCAAAAAACACGACAGGTTTAGCCAATCGCGACATATACATACATACCTCTACAGGTCAAATTGCGAACCTCCTTTTTTTAAGTCGGTAAAAAAACTCTGTCGCTCAAAATGACCACGTCGAAACAAAAAAAAAATTTAAACAATTTACTTACATATAAATTATTTTTTTATCAAAATTCGAACTCAGTTTTCACAAGTTCATCCAAAACTTCCAGGTCTAGTAGAAGCTGAACCGCTCATGAACCACGTGGACGGTGATCATGATGACCACAAGCGGTACATCGAAGATTACCTCTGGAATGGACAGAAACCTGGAGTACAGAGGTGAGTGACCTCCTAAATCCAACAACTTGTATAGATTCATCTGTAGAAGTGATTGGTTTTATGATAAAAATAATTTGATCAAGTTCCAGAAGCATTATATCCCTTAAACACAAAAATAAGTTCTATAAAACCAACTTCACTTCGAGTAGATGAATACATTAGTATAACATTAACAATGGAAAATGTTTCAACAAAATTTGTAGCACCAAAGAAATTTTGTCCAAACATTTTTTTATCAACAGCTTCTGCTTATCACCTTTTCCATAAGAAGACAAATGCTTCCCATAACTTCCTCCTCTTATAGATTGTTTCATATTACTCTGTTTCTATATTTTTCTTCTCAGCATGCTTTAACACTAACACTCGAAAGTAAAGCAGAAACAGTCTATAACCATCAATTTCGATGACTTGATCATTATCACAGAAATGCTTTGCTTTCGCTAACAAAGCTGCTTCTTAGCGAATTGATTCATTAACAAAATCATTGAAATGATTGAATTTTGAAATAACACCTTCACCGAGAACATTATTTTTAATTTGAAAAACACAATCACATAACGATACGATTTAAATAAAAATCCGCGAGTTTCCGGATATTTTAGACACAACACTATTTTATATGATCTGTTATATGAATCATTAAACCCTGTACATACTAATATAATTAAAACGTAAATACAATAATCTAAAATTTTTTCAGGTGAAGACAAATTTTGATATATTTTTACTTTATTTTTTTCTAAAATCGCTATAGCTTTCAAATTTCTATGTGTTTAGCTTTGTGTAACTAATCTAACCGTGGAGGAACCTCTTTCTGCTAAAAACTAACATATAGCACTGTTAATATCAACATTTTACTATGTTTGTTTAATACTAACGGCACAAAAATAACACGACTTAAGCTGCCTAACAGGCTTTTATTTGCTACAATCGCATCTAATTTAATTATTAAACTTCACTATATTGAAGAACCATAATTCTTTTTTGTATTTGAACCATTCTTATGAATTGATAGAGATAGTTTCCTCCACGGCTGTGTTCTGCCCCCAATTCTTTACTGAAAGCCTTTCAAAGCAGAACAAAGTCTAAATTTCGTTTTTGATATTTGCTTAACATAAGTCCTCACGGTGGCGGTGTCTAGGCCGAGTAGATTTAGTTCAACAACAACTAACATTAGTTCGGAATGACAGCTAGATTTTTTAATTACTCAATGTGTCCTGCACTTTTGTCGATGTGAACGTTCATTAATAATGTTTAATTAGAACCTGTATGTCGATGTATCACCACACTTGAACACTGGAGTTAGATTGTGAGAGGGCACAGGGCGGCAGCCCGCACTCTGTCGGTCCTTCTAGACTCTTCTAGGTTTCGACATCCTAACCTCACCATTGCGAGCTTGACAATTATTTGAAGCATGTCTGTACTACTAACCCGGCTCGGCGCGAGTCGTTTCTGTTGCCACATCATCATCACAGACAACAACACCAGGCGTCTAAGACTTAAATGGAATTTTCCAGAAAATCGACGTTCCGTAACGCGCTATCGGCCCTCATATCCAACGGGGAGGATCGTTCCAAAGATAATAGGAAACGTTACAAAAGCGAGTACAAAAAGAAATTTAGACCGTTCTCTCAATACGTGTACGAGGCGTCTAAAGGGACATTTACGAAATGCAGGGGGAAAGGGAAGGCAAATGAGGAGGCGAGCGAGAGGATGCTGGGGGATGCGGGGCAGGGGGTGTCGGGGGCGAGTGCGGGGCAGGGGAGTGGGGCGGGAGGGGTAGCGGGGGTCGGAGATGCCGGGGAGGACAGCGCCAACACGCTGCGCGCGGCCGGCTTGCAACCGCTCGGCCTGGCCCAGGGTGACTCCTGGTACCGAGAGGTGCTGGACCTGCGCAAGCGCGCCGGCGAGTACAAGGTCTGCGCCTGATACATACTAATGTTATACCTGAGAATAGGTCCCGACATAAACTGAGAAAATATATTGATTGGATACGATAATCCTATTGGACACAGAACAGAGAAGTTTTTTTCGAGCCGGAACCACAATTCAGGTTTGAAGCAAACAAACGTACGTACTAAACACATGAACCTTTAACTGTAAACTGAAAATAGTTGATAAAAACGAACTATAAATTAAAACCACAAATAAAAAACCCTTTAAACCTATCTCTAAAAATTTCTCTGTCCTATGATCCCGAAAAAAACAATACTTAAAAACCTGCTAAACTTAATATTTAACTAGGTAGGTTGATCAGTATTCGTTATCATGAATTTCAACCTCATTCTTTATCAAATGCTTTACCATGATCATGCTTGGTATTCAATATTGGCAATATTTCGACAGTACCGCGGCTGGGGGACAGAAATGGCGCCAGAACACATCACACAGCTTTACAATAAGCAGATCGAACTCTGGTACCAAGTGTCCCGCCGATCCTCGCTGTCGGCATTATCACTAGCTTCCACAAATCACAAGTAAGTGATGCACTAAGCGATTGGCTTGTTCACCTCAAAGGACCAGTTCCGAACCGAACCACAACACCAGGATTGTATAAAACACCCAGAATCTTATAACATGATAAAATTTACCGGTGATACATTTGTATAATCTTAACCCTAAACGAATAAGCTATTTTGGACAATGAATAAAATTATTTATGATGATAATATTAACAAGAATGATGGCTTAACGTAAACAATTGGTAAAGGACGCATAACCAAAAGCTTGCGAGCAAAATGGTCTTTCGAGATGGATAAATCAAGAAGCTTTTATCTAATCATAAGTATATTTAGTGGCAATAAGGCTGATGCAATCAAAGAATGGCTTGAATGGCGGACGGAAGCCATGGTATCCCATGCTAATCGTAGCGTAGTATCATCAGCCTTTTTAGTTTAGTTTTAGGAAGGTGACTGGGAGATCTTTGGTCCTGGCCACGGTAAGTTGATCCGAAAATAATGAAGCTTCGGCTTATGGATCTCAATAACACCAAAGACTGTTATGGTCTTTAGCGAAACAGTGTATATTGCATAGCAAAAAACTCCTTGTGATAAATGTTCACATGTGAAGTTAATTTTGGAATAATTTGAGGAAACAACTCAATGTTGAATTCTTATAATATAAGTCCCTTCTCAAATCTTCTCGTCCTTCCAGGGCACTGCCTCGCGACGAAAAAGATGGAAAGGAATCCAAGGGCCACTCGCCGAAGAAGTTCAGGTCCTTCAGATCCGCCCCTCACCAGTCTATCCACGCGAAGTTACAAGAGACGAAGGCGCTGGAACGCTCGCCTCATAAGACTTCGCCTCAGAAGCAGAGGAAGAAGCTGCAGGGACATAGCTTCGATGAAGGTGCTACCCAGGATGGTGAGTCTTACCACTTTTTAATTTACTTATCACCTTTTAAGGTACAGGTATTCATAAACTGTTTGTCAAAATATTTTGGTACGTACAATAAACACTTTTTATTTATTATTTTAATGAATAAGTACTAAAACATTGACCAAGTGGGTTCGTACAATGGGTTGGGTTAGATTCCCAAATTACACCTTTTTCAGTATTAACACAGATTCTGGAATTATGATAGGCATTTGACAGTAAACTCGTTCCTCATAACAAGAAGACTATCAATAAGTAATTATATGGGAATAAGCCTAATGATTAATGAAACGTGTGATGTGATATCAAGCACTACAAAATGTCCATCCTCTATAACCTTCCTACTCTCTTTCCAGGAGCCAAGGGAGAGAATGCAGCCTTCAGGTCTCCCAGGCGGCGACCTCGTTCAGCTGACCCGGCGCCTGCCGCAGCACATGTTAAGCTCCTCGCCAATGGGCACGAACCTCACCCAGCGCCCATCAAACCTACTGGTACGAAAAGTATAACGCTTCTTGTAATAGATGTCAAACGCTAGACATAGATCTGAGAAATACTTTGGTAAATAGGCAATTACAAACAGATGTCTATTTTCCAAACTTATTCTTCATTGTTTTGATCTTCTAAAGTCTCATAGATTTCTCACACGAACAGTTATGAAGAAATCTGTGAAGGCATAATACCAATATTAGAAACCAACGTGTTTCGTATAAATAGATGATCAAACTGATTGTAATGTTTGATTTCATAATTTTCATCATTTGAATGAGAAAAATGATGTAGTTAAGACTCTTAATTTTGGAAACATAGAGTTAGTATAAATTTCTTTCATTAAAAACTTTTATAGATGAGCTCTGAATACCCTAACAATTTCAGAGTCTCGATTTCTGTAATAGCAATTAGTAAATCTTCTAATTTTGGAGTGGTGCTCATCACTCCACGTCAAAGAGTAGTGGAATCCTTCTGTTCTATTCTATCCTAGATTCTGTGTCTAGACATTATATTAATGAGCTAATCGATGTCTGTACTAATCTGTTGTGTTCCTGCCTGATGCCTGTCCCCTGTCCTGTGTGGCTAATTTGTGAGAATATGGCTCTAATTCAAACTAGTTTACTTTTAGTTCTGAAGCATTTAATGCGCTACACTACATATTATATTGTTGCCACATTAAACAGTAACGGCAAACAATTCCGAAAGAATTTTAAGAGTTTAAATTCTTTCACAATGACTTTTTTACTCAAGCTAACAAGAGCCATTTCTCAGTAGCCAAAAAAAGTAGAAAAACTTTCTTCTGTAGGTTTGCAGTTGAGTAGAGGGAGTAGTAATAGAGTTAGGTCGACATCAAGGGGCGGGCGGTCGCCGTCAGCGCCGAGCAAAACTGGGGCTGGGGCTACGGGGACAACTGGGGCTACGGGATCAAATGGGGCTCCGGGCCGAGGGCGCCGCAGCCGAAGTGTGTCAAAAGTCGGCATAAAGTTGGGTGCGTAACTATACAGGTGACAGTACAGTTGCGTCGACGCTCTATGTTCTAAAATGATGCTTATAGTCCGTGATGCTTCTGTCTTGGTCTGTTACGATTGGCAATGTGTTTGGCCTCCTGTGGCTTTGACGATTGATGTTTTATTTGCTTTTACTGTCTCTTTATTATCTAAATTTATTATTTTAGTCAATTTTGTACAGAAAATTATCTCGTGACCAAATTCAATTTCGATTTGTGAAGAGAGAGTAAAAGCACTGAGTTGGAATTTTGAAAATTGACGGTTTATAACGTATTCCTTTTTGTATGGCTCTATTCCGCACGTCACGACACCTTTGTCTAACTGTCAGTTAGACAAAATGGCAACATTACCTTCCTAATCGAGCTGTATGAAATGTAGAATATGTTTTGAACTAAGTTATTGGATTTGAAGCTTCCATGTGTCCTGTGAGCTTTGTTATGTTGAATGGTTAGTGCGTCAACGCAACGTCTGATCACTGATGAGCGCATTGGCACCGACTAAGGGAATGGCTTCGTCACAGAGTGTGGTTGTATGTCCGTCTTGTCCGTGTGATCACCCTGCACACCCACATGTAGATGTTCGAGATTTAAATTAGATTCAACAACAGCAACAACTTAGAAATTAGCAGTGAACTTTTTAATAATTAATTTGGTTTCAAAATTGATGATCAATGAATTAGTTTCTAAAAAAAATTATTGTCGTCATTATGAATAATAATAACTAAAGAAATCGTTTATAGTAAAAGAACTTTTAATTCATTCAATTTACTTGTATTTTGGGGTATAATAAATATGGTTGACACTCACTACAATTTTCAGAGACAATTTTATCACTTTTTACGTAGGCACATAATGTTTGGTTTAGGTTAGGAAGTTAGGTTAGGATTAGGAGCAAAACCTAAATGTTTTCTGTGATTGTACCCTAGTGTGACGTGTTTAAATGTAATTCACTCAAAAAATAGTCTTACTTACCTATTATCTATTATTTTGACAATGTTTTAATTTGCATGCGATGTGTACATTTTTTTAGATACAGCGATTTGCAACTGAATGTTTGTTAGATTATTTAGTTTTTCTTTTTCTTGTTTTATTTTATATTCTTCGTTTCGTGTTATACCTATTTACGATTGTATTGAAGAAGACTGATTTATCTAATTTTATTCCATAAATGTGAAAGTATTTTATTAATTTTAAATGCTGATTATACATTAAAAAATCTGTAACATTAACATTAGTGAATACTTTATTCAGCTAACTCAGATAAATTAGAAAAATCTTCTTGGCAGCAAACATCATAGTAGACTGAATGGCGCCAAGACTTCAGCAATTTAAAAAAAAAGCTGCCCGCCATTACAGTCATTAAAACTGTCATTATTCTCCGATGTTGCCACAGACTATAAATATTATCTAATATTTAAAAATGTACTATAATATTAATATTTTTAATTAATTAGTTTAAAATATCGGTAAGTAGCAGTAGTAGTAATTATAATATTATGATTTAAAACCATCTCCCAAAGAATGTACCAATCAATTTATTCCACTAACACAGCAATAATTTTAAGTTAGGTAAATATGTACCTATAGTATGTAAAAAAAATATTTGTGATTAACGGATTAAGCACATTATTTAGATGTATTTTGGTATGTATCGTTGTAGTGTTCTTGGAAACAGTAAGTTGGACTTCAAATCACTACTCATAGACAGTATTTTACAAATATACAAAGCTATACGCTTATATAGCTTTAGGAGAACTTAAAAAAATATTTTAGTCGCTTTAAATGTTTTCTACCTTTACTGTTAAGAATGGGCAAGATATATTTGCATTTGTTTATTTATTTCTTACATGATAAAGATACTGATTTGTTCCAATTCGTCACTCTGTAAGATTTGGAGCCAATTTAGGATATATGGCTTTCAGTGTTGCCAAAATTAATTTTAATGACTAAAACGTTTCCATCTTAATATCTACTTAATGCAGCCGAGTAGAGTTTCCAGAACCGCTATTGTTGTACCAAAAACGCTGTCACAAACCCCAAGGCATATAACGATACATACTGGCTATTCTAGACAAAATTATATAACCAACTGCGATTTCCAGATGACGAGATCCCCTCGCACCGCAGCGCGTCCGTAGCAAAGGATCATTTCTTCGACGACTCTCCTGTCGTGAAGTCGCCCCCTGAACCAACCAGGGTCAAGTCTCCGGAGCAAATGAACATGCGATCTCCAGATCCTGTCAACTGGACTGTCCCACTGGACACCGGCAAGACGTTTACCGTCACCCAAAATGTGAAAAGCGGTGAGTGTAGGAATCTCATCAGATTGGGCGGCAAATGTAGTTAGATATAACTAGGATAACTTGGTGGAACTGATTTTACGAGAATCTAGAATATTTTGCCAAAATCTAGGGTTTTTCTTCAAAATTTTTAGAAGATTTTCGAGGTTATCTTTTGAATTTTGTCGATCTTTGTACGGTTGGAAACTTTTGATGATTAATGATTGAATTTCGCAGTGTAATATATTAGTAATGCTTCTAAATGAATGAAATGATGTCCAGGATAAAATCGGAGTGACTGAGCTAGATAATTGTTATAAATACTAGTTGTTAGACAATTGAAATCAAATTTTCTTCGTAAGATTAGTCACACTTTTTGATGTACAAAAGAAAAAGAGTATCTTTTTCTAATTGTAGGATTTTAGTGCGAACCTAATGATGGTGATGGTGTTGCCATGTAAAATATCGCACTTTTTCAAATCTATCACATTGTTTCGAATAAGATACTCTTCGAATGACCAGTTCTGAATTGGATTATGATCATTGACTTGTTAAAATATGTAGGTAATTAAGGTTTAGGAAATAAATTCAAAACCAAATATAAGCCATCACACTGTCATGTCACAACACTGGTAGAGAAAAGGACTCATAGTCATCCAACCATTTTTGAAGTGTGACCACCCTAGTACGGAACAAGTAGAGCTTGCAACACTAACACAAATGACACAGTAAAATCATGTGCATTGGAACAAAATATTTCAAATGGTAACACACTCATTAAAATCCCTGTCATTGAACATTTCACGTCTTTTGTTCGTACACAACAAGTGTTTTATTTAAATACTGTTCTACGTTTATTGAAATCGACATTGGTAACTTTGTTATTTACTAAAACGTCACGACTGACATTATAGGCTGAAAGCGATTATGTGTTCTCGCTATGCATAAAAAAAGTTGCAACTGTCACTTTCGATCGACATAGAACGTAACGTTAGTCCACTTCATCCGACCATACAACTCGCTCACCATTTCAGATGAGAGCATTAAGCGCCCTAGCTCTGAGTTTAAGGGTGGCTCCGTAGCCGAAGAAGCAACTGTGAAGCCGGCAGGTACGACGAACACAGCCACCGCCTAGACCATCGGCCATACACGTTTTAATGAGTGTGACAGACGATGCGACAGTGAACTCTAAGCACTAACAAATAGAGTTCACTATCACATAAGCACGACACACGATCGACACCAGAAAAAAATATATAATCTGTTTTATATTATATCTATTAAATAGTTCATGATTAAATTGTGTTACTCCAATAATTGAGATGCTTTTATTTATTTTGACCGTACTCCGCTGAGGCGTCGACCACGTATGTATTCACTTGTCTGTGTGTGTCTGTTTCGATGTTTGCGTACACTGTCACTGTATGGCACCCGAATTCTTATTGTTTCTCCATGTCATTATAATCGTTCACTTTTGCATGCTGCCTGTCCTCTATCTGGGAAACTTTCGGTGTATGCTTTCATCTCATGAGAGTAGACTTGTTAGATCCATATTGGCCTATTGTCAGTTACTACGTTTTATGAGCTAGTTTAGGAAAATTAGGTCTTAATTACTTTGATATATGTATTTAATTATATTCTTAAGCATTATCTCAACTGCATATTCATGAAGGTTTTTAATAAAATGAATAGTTTGCATGTCTTCTTCGTAACTAAAGATATTAGTCGAGCTATTTATTAGCGTTTCTAAGTTTAGATAAGCATTAGCATGATATATCTTGTTAGGGTACTCAAATATTAGACGGGAGCATGTATGAGTGAAGTAAATGGGTCAATTATATAGACTGGAATACAGCCAGTCGATTTATTACCTTGATGCGTAAGCAATTAGGTGGTAAATGCAGTCCCTTAAGGAACCGTAGGTGAGTAAAAGTAAATAGATGCCGAAATTAAAAGTTGAGCACCCTACAATAACAGGCTAGGAGACATCTCAACCTGTCGATCTTTCATTCTCCTTTCTAAAAAGTGTTACTTTATATGCTCTTATTACTTATTTTTATTGTAGTAACTTATTTCTAGAATAACTTTAAGGTATGGAAAAAAGGGCAATGAAAGATATCTTGTATGTGCTTAATCGGTGTATTAATGGGAGTTCCAAAATGTTTAATTAAAAGACTAACAAAACTAGATATTTCTTTCTGAATAATCCATTAACCTAATCCATTAATACTTACTCTAAAATCCTTTTGTAACTCCCAAAAAACTTGAGATAACAAGACCAAAAACTAAAAAATAATGTAACTGTTCCAGAAATCGCTCCGATACATCACCAGCAAATGTCGCCAATACGTTCGCTGAAAAAGAGCGAATCGCCAACCAGCCTGAGCAAGCGCACCGACAAGACACCGACCACGCCGATTAGCCTTACTCCCATCGATGAGACGAAGGCTTTAGACATGAACAAAGTTAATGGGATCAATGGCGTGAACGGAGTCAATGGCGTCAACAGCAATGAGCTTACCCCTGAAACCCCTACTCAGGAACCCATTCAAGAGAAGGAATTGATCAAGAAGTCGACTGAGGCCACCCAGATAGCTCCTGGAGTGGTGGATACTAACGTGGTGAATGAAGCTCCGGCCACCGGCGGTCTGACCGCCTCGGAGATACTAGATAGGGCCCGCACGAGGTTTGACAAGTTCTGGGGCAAAAAAGAAGAAGACAACGTTTAGTTGTTTCCAAGTTAGATTCACTTTCCACAAGAAATTGTGTCTAAATGAAATTTTAAAACATTTGTTTGTATTATTGCTAACACTCGAATCCGTAAAATGTAATAAAAATGTCATGATACAAAGAAATGTTAAATTAAACTTAAAAGCTTTAATTAACGACCTTAGCTAAATAATTCTAACATCATGAAGACACAATTTTCTGCTGGCAAAGTTGACAACTCAATGAAAGTAGGGAAAATTAAACGCAATGTTTAAAAACAGATAAAATATGAAAAAAAGCTTCGCTTTATAACGACGACTGTAATAATATGTATTTAATATTATTTGATATTTATTATCATAAAATCACTGTCTATTTAATAGGAGTGTGGTGGCTTGTGATAGTAGTAATGACGATGACTAGTTATTAATTATTGTATGTGTTTATTATTCATATTTATTTAATTAATTTATTGTATTTATAACGACGTATGACAGATTTTCGATTAAATACTTTTAGTGTAAGACCTAAATAATCTTGTTGAAACTTAATCTCATATTAATATTTCTTTCCGATTCGCTGTCCTGTTTTACTTATTATCGTATTCTAATGAAATTGTTAAAATGTAGGTAAATATTAATTAATGTTGATCTTTAGTACATTATTAACTGAGATTATTTTACGTAATTGTGTGATTTCTACAGCTTATAACGCTAGCTTAGCTCTATTATACAAAATAATTTTAATTTAGGTATTTATACTTCCAACAAGTTACTTTCTATTTCAAAATATATTTATATTTCGTTCGGAAATTAAATAGAAATTATTTTTGTCAAGTACACTACAGTTAATTTCATTTCTAAACAGAAATGCAATTAATAAGATTTTAATAAATTACAATAAACAAGGGCAAAGTATACAAAACATATAATTAAAAGCCGTCCATGTAGTGTTTATTGGCGAAAATTAATTTTAGTTGTCGATACAGTTTTTGAAACACGATATTCTGAACGCATTTTTAATAGACTATAATAAAAAAAAGTTTAGCCGAATCTATGAGCCAATCACATCACTTCTCATAAACGTCATCCTATTTTGGCGGGAATATAAACTTAAACAAAATAAAGCAAATATTTAGATAAATTTTAAACAAAATGGCAATATCACGTAAGTCCTGTCGCTTGTGTCTCACAGAGACGGAGTTCAACGTGTCTTTATATAGTAATTACGGCAGAAGAACGAATATCGTAGACAAAATTGTAGTCTGTCTAAAAATAGTGATTGAAGAGACCGATGTTCTGAATACAATTTGCTACAAATGCGCCGAAAACGTAGAAAGGTATTACGATTTTGTTATGTTTATAAAGAAATCACAAACAAAACTAGTCGAGCCGCAGCGTAAAATGGAAAATTCTGTCAATCGTCGTTTGATCGCGTCGTACGTGCGCGAACAAGTTTATGACGCGGACTACACATTCTCATTTCTCGATAACGAAGAGAAGAGAGAGCCACGATCTTCTAGTCCGTTCTTTTCTTATTTTTCTCCACCAAACATGTTAGTAAAACGTACTGGGGAGGAGCCTGTGTGGAAAACGCCAAAGCCGCGTAGAGAAAATGTAGAAAAACATGAAATAAGACAAGATGACAAGTTGAAAAGACAATATAGGCCGGAGAGGCCCCGGCATCATTCCAGAGACTTGTTCGAGTCTCAATCTCAGGAGTGACACTGACCTAAAGCCTCTAGACTGGAAATTAACACCAGATGATAACATTATAAAAAGGGTTAGGGACAAATGCTTTGGACGATCTGATTTTTAGATTTTTGTGTTCAACCTATATTACACTTTATTCTCCATGAAATTAAGTTGATTTTTAATGTAGAACAACAGTGTATTTGAATGTTATAACATTTCATTAGGAGCCTATGTTATTAGGTTTTGTAAAAAGAAAATATTCCAATTGTATGACTTCATAGCCTGTCGTAAATATTTTTACATTAAAAATATGTTAAAGACAGTAAGAAGTTTGTTAACTACAGATTGGCTAACATTCTTAGGAGGTTTTTTAAATTATTTAAAACATTTTGTAAACCAAGATAGGTAATTATTCAAATTGAAGTTCCTGGCTTACATGATAAAATGTAGCTGTAATTTGGTGTATAATAGTTATGAAATAGAATATTCGAGAATGTAGTTCCTCAGTGACAATAGGTAATCTGTTAATGTAATTTATGTCAATATAATAAATAATAAAGTACCTTTATCTCTCAAATAATCTGTTACAAAATCACCATTTTTTACCAACTGCAATGTACACCAAACATGCTCATTTTGCTTAACATTTGTTTAATTTCCAAATATGTAAGTAAATGTAATTTTAAAAGTGTAATATAGGTTTTTGTATGTATATTAGTTTTACAATTATAAATTGTTATGTTTGTTGAAATAATTTATTCCATATTTTTGACATTAAGTTATTGTTTTTAATTTGAAAGGGTACTAAGAAAGTTTTTAATGGCCTGATTTTTAAGCTGATTGTCATTTTGATGTTTAGCTATTGTTTGAGCTGAGTGTGGCATAGCAAATGATTGTAACACACCATTACAATAATATAAAGGTGGTCTACACCCTTGATAGAGAAATAAAACAGTGTACACACTATACCAGGTTTAAAATCATGAATATTTACTGCAATATGTAACAAAAAGTACATAAACTCAGCTCAAAGTAAAATAAATTTAATTATTCAAAACTAAAGACATGATACTGTGAAGATTTGACATGGAAATGAAAAAAATACCCACAGAATTGAAGCTCACGCAAAATTGTATGGATTTGTATGTACTAGATAATATAGTGAGCAGTGTTTTGTATGTAATGCGTAGAAAGATATTATAAACAAATAATTTTAATTTAGTTCCTATCAGAGTCCATTCTCGCATCCTTCCATAAATATTAAATAGTTTGTTCTAAAAAATGTCGTTATTTTTTAAAAAGCTTTTTGCTCCTGCTCTGTGTATTTGAGTACTTTGAAAATAATAACAAAATTGACAAAATTAAAAAATTACAAGATTATCATAGCTATAACATTCAAATTGTTTATCAAACTTAAACCAAAACACGTTTGTTAACATGAAATAAAACAGTATTAAAAACTGTACTAATTAAAAAGTGTAGCATTTTTAACTGGAATAGAACTTTCTGAAACACTTCAAAGTACTAAACTACACAGTCGGATATCATATGTACCTACTTGTAACTATAAAATGTATGTACCATAAGTATATCTAATAATGGTCTGGAAATCCTGATTCAGTTGTCATTATACCTATTTTGAAAGCCCAAGTTGGGCGCCAATTGTTTAAATAAATTGTTTTAAGTTATAAGTTCCTATAGAATGTGTTGTTTTCGCACAAAATGTTCTATTTTTCTTCCGTGGTGTATGTAACGCCCTGCCCTATGACTTCTAGTGATATTACTCCCCCTCAATAGCAGATAATGATTACAAGATTTTAGCTTTGCTACGGGTTTACAATAGCATGTGTTAATTTTCAGTTGTTAACATCAAAATGGACACCTAAATAAAAACTTAAAAATGCTTTTTTTGTTTCATTTTAGACTGTTTGTTATTTAACTTAATCTATTGGTATATACATATATTTCCCAAAACACAACTTATGTTGGAACTCCCATTTGAATAAATAATTTCTAATGGAGGGTCCAAAAAATTTACTGCCTCGATGGCCAAGTAGTCACAAGTGCGACTGACAGGAGTATCGGGTTCGATTCCCGGGTCGGGCAAAGCATTACTGGGTTTTAATAAAAATCTCAGTAACATCTCTGAGACTGGAATTGTGCCGGTATATGGCAATAAGCTCACCGCTAAAAGTAGGTGTAACATTGTACAGTGGCATTAAGTGCCGCAATGTGCGCCTCTGCCGACCACTTCGGGGATAAAAAAGGCGTGATGTTATGTAGTAAGTATAAAAAACGATCATCATCAATCATGTTTAAAAATTGAATTCACTGGACGAAGTACTAAAGACGTATTTTTGCTAGTGACTTGCAAAAACACGAGGTAGCAAAAACATGAAGGGAGGCGTAGATAAAAAATATCAATATAACGGAACTTTAATAAATTACTCTAATGTCAAACGCTAGCTAACCTTTTCTGACATTTCGTTGGAGTTCATAAGTAATTTTTACACAATTGCCTCAACCACTTTATTATAGCAATATCGACCATTATTTTGCGTTTCTTAGCACCAGAAAACAATCAATGTAAGTAACGATAACAGTCAATGAAAATTATTAATATTCGAACTGGGGGCTTACTCTTGAATCCAATTCCGATTGATCGACATTGGTATTGTGAAATTTCGTACTCTCGAGTTGCAATACTAGCGCCCATTGCATCCGTATTGCGTGGATATTGAATGAACTAAATGGTAATGAGTTTGGCTTGATATTCCGTATTCTGAATGCTATTTCAACAGCTACGGTAGGGGTTGTATAATTTTGACATTGAATAATTATTGAGATTTTATTGGATTGAAATTGCATTGACATTGAGATTTGTGTCAAGAGTAAGCACCCTGGTATAACTAAGACTTCATCTTGGAACCTACTTTATGCCATATTAAGTTTTACTCCAAAAGTTCTAACGACGTAAAACGGCACAACGCCGTAGCGTCTCTCAAGCCACTTCTCAAAGAGGGGACTTACCGCTGCAATAACAGCGAGCCCAATTTTGCGCCAAGCCTGGGTTTATTTATCATACTTCGAGAGTAGTACTTGTTATACCCTCTATACCTACTTATCATCGAAATCGATTGCTAAATGTAAAAATTGGTGTGTATTAGTGGCTCATTTCTTTTCGTTTGGGCCGAGCCTAGGTTTTTAGAATATTGTCCTTTTTAAATGTCAGCTTCGAATCTGATCAGTTTATTTTTATTAATGAAAAGAATTTTAAAACTATCTTATCTGAAAAAGTATTTGTAAAATACTAAAATATAGAACGA